AGCTGTAGTATTCTAGTTGTAGTATTGTCGTTGTAGTATTGTCGTTGTAGTATTGTCGTTGTAGTATTCTAGTTGTAGTATTCTAGGTGTAGTATTCTAGGTGTAGTATTCTAGGTGTAGTATTGTAGTTGTAGTATTGTCGTTGTAGTATTCTAGGTGTAGTATTGTAGTTGTAGTATTGTCGTTGTAGTATTGTCATTGTAGTATTCTAGGTGTAGTATTGTAGTTGTAGTATTGTAGTTGTAGTATTGTAGTTGTAGTATTGTAGTTGTAGTATTGTAGTTGTAGTATTGTAGTTGTAGTATTGTAGGTGTAGTATTGTAGTTGTAGTATTGTAGTTGTAGTATTGTAGTTGTAGTATTCTAGGTGTAGTATTGTAGTTGTAGTATTGTCGTTGTAGTATTGTCGTTGTAGTATTCTAGGTGTAGTATTGTAGTTGTAGTATTGTCGTTGTAGCAGATGTTCATGTTGTTACCTTCCTCCACAGAAAACAACGACCCATCCACCTGAGCTTCGACATCGATGCCTTTGATCCATCTCTGGCTCCTGCCACAGGAACCGCAGTGAACGGAGGTCTGACCTACAGAGAGGGAATCTACCTGACAGAGGAGATCCACAACACAGGTACTGTCATCAAACACCTGAGAGACACCGTCTGACTGTTCACTTTGTGCGTCCTTAACTCAGATTCATCTGGATGTTTAGGTCTGCTGTCGGCCATGGACCTGGTGGAGGTCAACCCCCTGCTGGGGGCCAACCAGGAAGCCGTGGAGGCCACCGCCTCTTTAGCGGTCGATGTCATCGCGTCGTCACTGGGACAGACGAGAGAAGGTGCTCACGCATCTATCGAGCAGATGTCTGCGGTGAAAAACGACACAGAGCAGTTGTGCCTCTGAGAGCGCTGAGCTAACTGTACGCACTTTAATCCATTCCACTGTCCAACTGTCTGCTCTTATATCTGTCATAAAATCACAACGTCTGCAAGCAGGAAGGCATGATAGAGCTTTAAAATATTCCCTGTGCTCCTGCTGAGACATGTTATTTAATGTTATATAATCTGGGTGGAACCTAACCTCAGGCCTGGTGGTCTCACCAGTCATGGTTTTAAAAACAGAACAGACTTATAGAGTCCAGTTCACGTGACAGTTTCATGACTTTAAAGCTGACAGAAGAAGAGTTTAAACCACGTGTGAGATGAGGGGAAATGTGCTTTATCAGAAATCAGAATAAAAAGGTTTTAAAAAGGAAGATATGAGAAATATAAATATATTTTAGTTAAAAGATAAATATTTTTATTTAAAATGTTTACTGTATATATAGAAATACCATACATCGTTACAGAGCCCGTCTAGTGACATTGAATAAAATTAATTCCCATGGCTACACAATAATAACTCATGGCCACACAATAATAACTCATGGCTACACAATAATAACTCATGGCCACACAATAATAACTCATGGCCACACAATAATAACTCATGGCCACACAATTATAACTCATGGCCACACAATTATAACTCATGGCCACACAATAATAACTCATGGCCACACAATAATAACTCATGGCTACACTATTATAACTCATGGCCACATAATTATAACTCATGGCCACACAATTATAACTCATGGCCACACAATAATAACTCATGGCCACACAATAATAACTCATGGCTACACTATTATAACTCATGGCCACACAATA